AGCAAAGCACAAAAGGTAACATTTGGAAAATAACTCCTAACAGACGTAGGAAATGTTTGTGATCTACTATTTTATTTTTTTAACTCATTAGGAAATCGGAGTCTTGTTCAGAGGGAAACATTTAAAACAAACCGAGAGCAAGTGTCTGCAGTCCTCTCCCCAAGCATGGTGGCAGTGAGCTCACAAAGAGGCTTCCAGAACACTCTGGGCTCCCAGGAATGCTGTGTGAACTGCTGATTTGGCCTGACTCCAGGTTCTAGCCGTGGGGAAGAGACACAGAAGGTCAACACACTGTCTGGGGGGTGGCTGCAGAGAGCAGCTGTTTGGACAGCAGGCGGCACTGGAAGGTGCCACGAACGGGCAGCCTTTGGCCAATTTACCTTAGAGATCTTGAGACGATTCTGACTGATCCCCCCAAAGTTTGGGACTAGCCACCACCACTGTATGAAGGGTCTAGAAGGTTCTAGGTCCAGGGCTGGGGCGGTCTCAATTTCAGTAACGGTCCATGAGCTCTGCTCCCACGCGTGTGCTCAGGGGCATGCCCTGTCTGCGGTCTTTGAGGGAATGCAAGAAAGTGTGGGTGGTGCCCCCCGGCCGTGAGTCATCTCCCAGCACAAGGGAGGCGACCTGCAGACCAGTGCCGACAACCGCTGCTTCTACTGGGCACGCGGGCACACCAATTAACAGCTGCGTCTTGGATCTGCAGCGCTTGGCAGCCCACTCTGCAAATGTTTTTCTTTTTTGTGATCCCATTTTGTTTTCACCAGAAAAACTCAAAGAAGGAAGAAAGATGATTTGTTTCAGAATCAAAGGAACAGGCACAGGAGAAGGGCTGCGAGTGATGCTGGAAGGAGGAGAGGCGAGCAGAGCCTGCGTGCTTCCTCCCAAGCCAAGGCGCTCTTCTAGCCGAGCGCTCGTCTACGTTCCCCCAGAGTGGCAGCAGCAACATTTCTGCTCATCCCCAGCTATGCCCCCACCGGTGCCTGGCAGTTGCTAGGCAACCTGTAACAGCGACTGCTCTCTGCCCACCCACAAAGCACAACTTTCATAATTGTTCTCCTAGGTTTGCCAATTACTCCGAAGCACTTTCTTAGCCAAGGCAGCATCTTAAACCTCATCTTGCCTGCTTGGTGGTGTGGTAAAATTTAAACACTATTTGTCATCATGTCCCAGTAATTTCCATAACAACAGGCTGTCCATCAAACAGGCAATGACTTCATGGTAGGCTCTAAACCTATAAATAGCTTTGCAGAAATGCAACCAGACAAGAGAGGAAATTGCCAGCTAACATTTCAATAAGTTCAAACTAAAATGCTAGACAAAGTACTAGTTTTAATTTTCTTTGAACATGTACTTTCCGCTGGAGGTACCGCTCTTGATTTTATAGAAAAATTTGGACCCATTCTTAAATCGACACATATTAACAAGGCTTATCTGCAGCCAATTCCTTAGGTCACGTATCACATAAACAGAAAAGATAAAGTTGTAAGCTGCTTTCTAAACCCCGATGAAGCTAGTGAATATGAGCTCAATAATAGCACATGATTGTTGCAAATCAGGTAGCTAAGTCAAGGCACATGGCTTGACAGGTCACCTCCACGTTTGTCTTCCATCACCCTCAGAGCGTGCCGTCCCTGAGCTAAAGTCCAGATCACATAAGACTTTCCTGAAATCTAAGCGGCAAGGCTCTATGAGTGCAGCCCAGGTGAGGACTCGGCCTTGGGCCCACCTCGGAGCTCCTCCGCTGCCTCCTCGTGTGCTGGCCCGTGGGCTGGCTGTGCCACCATGGGGGTTTCTGAGTGTGAAAAGGTGAGCTGCCCTGACCTGGAAACGCTTCTCTCAATATTCACGTCCCTCTGGAGAGGGTTCCAGGGCCCACAACACAGTCGCAAATGCATGGCCTGGTATGTTAACTTTGAGGAAGGCCTGGCAACCTCACAGCCTATTTCTCATCACTTTGACTCAGGAATAGCTGCAATCATTTAGCTTTCACCAGTGTGTTCCTAAGGGAATACAGCGGGAGGCCGGGTCACTCCCAGTCTCACTCACCACGGCAACTCAGGTCCTCACTCCTCACACAGGGACGCCCTCGGCCGTCATGACTTGGCCTCCTGGCCTTGTGCCCTCTGCACCCAGGGTCGAGCATGCAGTCCCTCTACATCTAGGGAATCCCCTTCTTCAGGAGATGACTCTTCTCAGAGATGCAGAGTGGGCACCGAGTCCTTGTGCCATGGGCAAGCATGACGGCAGCGCTCCTGTTCCAGGTCCGTTCCACCCCGGGGGGCCCCACGTCACACGGGGCTCCCGCAGCCCGGGAGGCAGCCCTCGCGATGCCTGCACCACACACCTGCAAACAGACTGCGCCTAAACACATTCCCACCCAGAGCTGGTAAGTGACAGAACAGTACCGTGACTCCTTATCCCTAGGACTCAAAGGTGTTTTTCCATCCTGGCAGGGTGCCTGGAAACCTGCAGGGAGTCCTCTCTCTCACTTTGGAGCTGTGCCACGAACACCACGAGGTCATTCACGCTCCTTGGCGGGAGCCAGCATGAAGTCAGGCCACCAATTTCCACCCACCAGGGAAGTGACTTGGCTTTGCTTCCGGACAGCTGTCTTCTTTGCTTTGTGAGTGCTTTTGGACTTCAGTTTCAAAGTCTGTGCACTGGTAAAGGCATACTTCTGCTCCATGATAAGGTAACTGGCCATTATTCGCGGCAGTTGTACTGTTAAGTCATCAGATGCCCAGCGGCCTTTGCTGAGACTATGTCAAGAACTCGAGCTCCGTACACCTCTATCCAGCAGAGACCCAGATTCAGGCCTGAGTGTTGCCCATGTCTCTAGCACTGCAAGGTGGACACAGCAGTCACAGAAGTGCTAACGGCAGGGAGAGCGTCTTACAGGAACTGATAAGGATTACTCTGCAACGGGAACGTGGTGAACAGGGCACAGTTCTGTGAACACTTCCGGAACTGTTAGAAATATATTAAACTGTAGACTTTATATTGGTGAATTTAATTCTAAGTTAGTTATGACTTAAGAATTTCTTTTATTTCAAAAAAGGACACATGGGAGATTTGACCGCTTAGGAGAAAATAATTAAGGAACAAATATTAATTCTACCATACTATTTTTCTATTTGCCCCAAATGTACAAAGTAACAGACGGAAAAACAAAATTTATGTAAACCTTCTCAACATGTGGACTTATAAGTAAAACCAGGCTGTGATGACATGTTCTGTGAAGGGATTAGTCCTGGACCTCCTTCAAGTGAGGTTCATATAAGACATGTGTGCACACCACACACACACACACACACACATACACACAGTGACAATTACAAAATCGCTTTTCAGCAACCCATTCAGTTTCTAAGAGCAAGAGCAGGAATTATAAGCACTTAGAAAAAAATTCCTCCGCGGCTTACCTGGTGACAAGGAACCAAGCGACCTGCCGGAAGTCTGGGGAGAGCCTCATGTACGTCTTGATGTGCGGCATGGCATGGCTGCGGCCGGACGTCTCGGCCGACCACTTGCTGGTGTCAGGGGAGACAAACCGGCCATCAGCCTCACGCTGGGCACTGCCGAGACCCAGACCCCACTGCCCGAGCAGAGGGCGCACAGCCCCGCTCAGACGACACAAGCGCGCCCGTCCCTTCAGGGTGGCTCGGAGACGGGCTCGGCCCCTCGGACCCCTGCCGCAGACACGTGTGCACAGACCCCATCGACACATGGGGCTGGGGTGCGGCAGGAAGTCTGAGTAGGACTTCTGACTCCCCCAAACACTGCTGCCTGCTACTGCCTGAAAGCCTTCCTAATAACTTGAATCCATGGCTAGTGCACGTTTTGGTTAAGTTAAATGCATTACATGGTAGAGTCTTACAACAGAGTAGCCCAAGAGTGGGGAAATCTAAGAGAAAACGGACTCGGCACTGCTCTGTATCCGGCGACACGGTTAGCTGACGCCACCTGCTCACGAGCAAACGCAGGCGTCAGTGGCCGGCACCGTCCCAGGCCACAGTGTTTCGGGTCAGGCCCTTAACTCTGCTGTGTTTCTAACTGCCTGTCTGCTCATCTTGTCTCCTCGCTGGGCTGTGCTCTCCTTTAGCAGGCACCCGCACCGCCGTGTGCCACTGGGCACAGGCTTCCCCGAGAGCCTGCTGGATGAGCCCAGACACACCACGGGCAAACCGCAGCCACTAGCACGACTGAATGCGGAGAGGAGGACAGGTGCGGACACGCCGGTCACATGCTGCCATCCTCGGATCTGAATTTGGTTTGAGTTTACAGCGTTGCAGGACTAAGGTTCCATGGGACAAGTGACCATGTTAGGAGGCGACTATCCTAACGAACATCGGCGCTCGCAAAGAACATGTGCAGAGAGTAGGGGTCAGGCAGACCCCCCGATGAGGGAATGAAGGAAGACGATGTTGACAAGACTCCAATACAAAGAATGTCCTCTGTAAGGAACCACCTCCTCGGGTGCCACTGAGGACAGGCTCCGGGACGACACGCGGAAGCTGCAGCGCAATCTGCCTTCACTCACGGTGTGTGCCACGCTGTGTCCGTGGGCCCAAGCAGGGAACGGGCTGGCCTAGAATGTGCAGCCCGCACAACCTCCCTGCTCCAGAGGATGAGACGCTGAGCTTACCTGGACGGCCAGCACCGCCATCTCGTCCACAAACCTGCCCACCTGCGTGGATCCCGGGGAGCAGGCTGTATCCTACCCCCAGCGAGCCCACAGCCCCATGGTGTGTGAATGTGTACATAATGATTACATTTTATAGACTGGAAATACGAACTGAAATGCTGCTTATGTAAATTCTAAACCACCCACCATGTCCTGTTATTTATATTCCTCTTTGCAGGCCAAAATATAAATAGAAAACTCACAGAGATAAATTCTTCTCTTTGGTATTAACAACCTATTTCAAAAAGTTTTTAAGATCTCATTTTAAGCTATTTCTATCACTAACACATGTAGATGAAAATATAGAGCTATAGGATGTAAAAGTTCTCTTAAAAAAAAAAAAATGAGACCGACATAAATAACATTCCTATTCCTCACGAAGCAACGGCAATACTCTGAACCAATTACTTACTGAAAATAGGAATGGAGCCAGGCCTGTTTCTCGGCTGTCTGGATGCTGTAGGGAAGAGAGCCGCCGGCTTTTAAGAGAAAAGTAAAATGCAAATTATGAAATATAATTTGAGTTCTTTATGAAGAAAATTTATAGTAAACAGTGAGAAGGTAAAAGAAAAAAAGCAAATTTACTGCCATTACTTATCTCATGAAATACTTCTCTCTAAGAAATTGCCTTCACGCGCATTAATGAGGCCTCTCGGCGCCCTCCCTGGCGGCGCAACGGGCCAGGGTGCAGCGCTGTGAAGCCGGCCGCAGCCGCTGCAGCGCAAATTCAAATCCCGGCCAGGGGGTGACCCACACGGCGCGGCAGCCCTCTCCTGTCGCCCCGCTGCTCCCCTCAGCAGCGTACTTCATCGACCTGCCTGTTCTGCGCCCCATTCTCTCCCTGGTGACGCCTCTCACCACCCCTGCACCTCTGGCCTGTACCCCAGTTCTGTATGCATAAATACATACATCTTTAAAAAAAAAAAGTGTTCTCTCAGTTGGGTTTCCTTTCTTAGGGATGTTCACTACAAAGTAAATATTCACTGTCTGAACAGAGAAAGCTTGCTGAATCTCAGGTGGAAATTTAACGTCTGTAACAGCACAGACTAGAAGTGCTGAAGTGGCCACCGAGGAAGCCTGGGTCGTCCTTCCGTCCTGGCACAGAAGAGACAAGCTCGGCCACGCTCTGCCGGGGGAGGTGAGCCCCGGCGCGTCTCTGCCCACGCCGGGACCCGTGGTGGGCAGAGCAGCCAGCGTGGGCGAGGGGCTCACTCTGCTCCTGACAGACTGCACTGGCTAGCCAGGTCCGTACAGATGGGACGGAATGATCCTCAAAATAAATGAAAACATTCAGTAAACAGCCACGTCTTATATGAAGGAATCTGAAAAGCAAAATCCTTCAAAGGGAAAACGCAGATACACACAGGAACGTAGGTAGAAGCCAATTTCGTGCATTGTTGGAGGGAAATCCCACTGCAGATTTACCAGTGACTTTCCAAACACATATTGGAACTTCTCCCTATCAATCTATTGTCCAAAGAGGGCTTTACATTTTTCCTACTTACCAAAGAGGGCATGCTGTATCTCTGGCTAAAACTGCCCAACAACATACTCAGGCTTTCAGGGGCAGTCATAAGCCAGCTTTATGGGAAATGCAGTGTTTTCCACATGAAGAAGGATGCTCTGTTAGAAGCACAGAAAGAGGGCTCTCCCTGGTGGCACGAGGGGTTAAAGTGCAGCACTATGAAGCCATTTGCAGTCACTGCAGCATGAGTTCGATCCCCAGCCAGGAGCTGACCCACATGGTGCGGCAGACCTCTCCTGTCTCACCTGCTGCTCCTCTCAGCAGTGTACTTCGTCAATCTGCCTGTTCTGCTCCCCACTCTCACCTCCCATAACATTTGGCCTACTCCAGTTCCAGTATGTACAAAAAAAAGCCCCACCCTCCACTCCCCCTCCCCAAAAATAATCCCTTGAAACCCTCAGGAAAGCAGATTACCAACTAGGCTAAACCACAGGCTTCACCTTGCTGTTAGACCTCAGTTCGGGGAACCGAAACAGACCTGCACGTGGGAATCAAGCATCAGAGAACCAGGTAATAATTCAGACAGGCAGAGAAAGGAATGTAAGACTGGCTCTGGAAAGGCATGGAGGGGTAGGGACCCTGGATTTATCTGGACATCTTGCCTGGATAACCAGGTTTTGCGGCTGAGGTGAGAACAGTCTTATTAATAAAGATGAGAAGACTGTAGCAGTGTTATTATGAGGGTTTAGCACACCCAAATGAGGTGTCATCATCAGAAACAGAACTTACCTAGTTAGTGTTATATAGGTGTATGTGTTATATAAGTATATACTCAGTGTAGACACACACTTACACACACACACAACCAGTTAATTCAATTCTACATTTCTAGCCAATACTTTCCCCATGTCAAGGAGGAAGGCATGCTTATTTATTTGTTGTGAAAAATTCACGAGGACATCTATAAAATATACAATTGAGACAGTCTCCCCAACACTCACCAGGGTAGCCTTCTAAGCTGGTCCTCACATTTTCCACGGAAGGATAGATCTAAAAATGAATAAGGAAAACCACAGCACATTATTACCTGGAACATACCGTGTTGAAGAAACTACTGGGTAAAAAAGAATATTAGCTCCCTAAGAAATTTTATCAATAACTGGCTTATAACATCATATAAATTTGTAGGTACATTAGATATCAATTGTTTATACTGCATTGTATCCACTAAAAGTCTAATTCCATCCTTCACTGTATGGCTTTTTCATTGGGGTAAGACTGGCCTACACTGTTGCTCACATTTCAGGAATACAGGGTGCCCCAGCTGCTACCACCCACACCCACCATCGCCCACCACCATTTCTTCCCTGCTTTATGCTTGCTCCCCTCCTCAGAATGTCTCAATTCTGGAATATTTTTAAAAAAGATTTATTTATTTGTTCATATAAGAGCTGGGGTACAGGCCAGTGGTACGGGACTCACCAGAGATAGGTGGGGAGCAAAACAAGCAGACTGACTGAAATACACTGCTGAGGGGGGCAGCCGGTGAGACAGGAGAGGTCTGCTGAGCCAGGTGGATCAGCTCCCTGGCTGGGGACTGAACTTGTGCTGCAGTGGCTGTGGATAGCTTCATAGCAGTGCTGAGACCTAACTCCTTGGGCCTCCAGGGAAGCCCTGGAAAATGTGCTTTAAATTTTAAAGTTTCTGCCTCACCCGGGGGTAGGGGGGAAGGGGAAACCCCACACAACCACTCCTCAACTAATTAAATTACCAGAAACATAAATACTTGATGAAAAAAATATTATACTTCGATTTCTATTTTTCCTCTGAAAGGCCAAATGAATACCGGGATTGAATGCAAAATACAATATTAATTCAAAGGCCTCTAAATAATTAATGCATGTAACTGCTGCCCACATTTTCTTAATTCTTCTCCCTTGGTTTGACAGCCGGAAGGAGCAGCAGTGTGCAGGCCGGCTGGGGTGGGGGGGGCACCTGATCACAAAGGGGGCAGCTGACGCCCGGCCACATCTACCCGAGACATTAAAACATCTCTCACAAGGTCGGAGCCTCCTGCCTCCGGATGATACTCACCAGGTGCAGCGGGGTGGCGCTCCTGCCCAGCGCCTGGCTTTCCTTGCCCAGGCTCGCCAGGCTCTCCTGGAACTCAGAGCACAGCCATTTTGACTCGTCAGCGCCCATGGAGCCAATGCTGGAGAACTGGCCCACCACCGGCCAAGACTCCGCCTGGGGAATGGGGGCGGCCTGTTCCCTCAGCAGCTGTGGGCAGAAAGCGGGTTGACTCAGAACATGCCCGTGGAGCCCCTGACTGGCAAGAAGAGTGCTGAGAACAGTAGTGACCGATTGCGCATGTTTCTGTTCTCTTTGGGGAAAAAATTTTTTTAAACACTAAAAATATTTCATTTTCATGAAGTGGACAGAAGCATTCCTCTTCCAAAAATCTTTGATTAAAATCTTTTCCCCAAGATCCACTTTAGGAGAAGTGTCACGTAAACCAGCCACTGGATAAATTTTTCGGTCTGGAAGCCAAATGCTAATACACTTACAAAACACAGAAAAACAAAGTCTTGCATACTTTGACTCATCTCACTTGACAGAGGTTCGGCAGGTGGGCGCTGGCCTGAGAGACTGCGAGCCAGCACCCAGCGGACGCGCGCTCCCTCCGGCGCTGCGGGCACTGACTGTCTCCTGCAGTCTAGTTAGGCCATGCTGGAGAAACTGTTCAGGAAATCTCCAGGGGCTCTACCCACTTCACCCTAGTGTGGTGCCCGCTACCTAGAGGTCAGAGGGAGCAAGAAAGAGGGCCCACCGTTCCCACCCTGGGGAACCCACTCAGGCCACTGTATTCGGCCCAAAGGGGGCTGTTTTCCCCATCACGGTATAGGTGGAACAAGTCAAAACACATTTATCAACATGCCCTGAGGTTCTCAGCGTGTGCCCCAAGTCGCATGGTGTAGAACGGGACTGAATGGACAACTATTACGACGGGTTTGTGTTCTGGAGCTTGGCCCCAGGTAGGCTGTGTGGGGCCTGGGGCCTGGGACCTGTGCCTCTGTCCCCATGTCAGTGAGACAGGTGACCAGGCCCGTCTTCCCTGGGAAACAGCTGGGCGGCAACATGAGCTGCTGTGGCCCAGCCCGGTCCAGCCATTAGCCCGGACAAGTTGCCCTGAGTGCTCACGGGCTTCTGGGAGGGAGGGCCATTTCACAGGTGATGCGAGAGGCAGGTTAAAAAGCAGGCCAACCTCCCTGGTGGCGCAGCGGGTTAAAGCACAGCACTGAGAAGCTAAAGCCACTTCTGCATGAGTTCGATCCCCGCCTGCCCCGGAGGTGACCACATGGAGCGGCAGACCTCTCCTGACCCGCCTGCTGCTCCCCTCAGGAGTGTACTTCGTCCATCTGCCTGTTCTGCTTCCCACTCTGTCTCTGGTTAAGCCTCTCGCCGCCCCTGCACCTCTGGCCTGTACCCAGTTCTGTATGTACAAATAAATAAATCTTAAAAAAAAAAAAAAAAAAAAGCAGGCCAAGATCAGCTGACCTGTAGTAGGTCAGAATCTGAACCCCGGGACAGGCCTGTCCCTGACCCTGCACCAAGCTCTGCTCCTCCTAGGGTGAAGCGTCCTTGGGTCAGCTATCTAAGAACTGGGGTACAGGCCCAGAGGTGGGGAAGAGGTTAGAGGATTCACCAGAGACAGAATGGGAACAGAACAGGCAGACTGAAACACACAGCTGAGGGGAGCAGCGGGTGAGACAGGAGAGATCTGCCGTGCCTGGCCAGGGATTGAACTTGTGCTACAGTGGCTGCAGGCAACTTCATAGTGCTGTGCTTTTAACTTCTTGCTCCACCAGGGAGGGCCCTGTGGTATCATTTTGAAAGGGGGAAATTAAAACAAAATGCTCACTAAGCAAGGGGAATTTTAATATAGCAAATACTTGAAAGGAAAAAGAAAGCTACTTTAAGGAAGAGTTTATTAAGGCTGATACATCATATCCTAAAGAGAGGAGAAAATGCCAGGCTTTGGTGTGTGACTTTGTTGAAGGCCTTTCTTTGGTGATTTTCACACCAGCAGCAGAGAAAAAGAATGGAAAGCCAGACTGTTGTCATTTAGAACCGTCTAGGCTACACCTCCAAAGAGACACCACTGAAGCTCAAGCAGCTGCTGAAGACTAGAGGCCCTCCATCTACGCTGCTTGCTCCCGGCCGGAAACTGGTAGTGGAAGCTGCCATCCCATGTGGCTTCTCCACAAAAGCCCTCGTCCCCTGGCTGACTAACTGGCGGTGTGGCAATCTGCCAAAACGGATAAGCACTAGCTGATGAATCAGTCAATCAACCGCCTTCGGCAGACTTTATTTAATAATGTATTTAAGCAAGTTGTCAGCTTGGTTTCATTTCCCCGTTGACGAAATGAAAAACCAACTTGTCTCAGACTGATACACCGCCTTTTGTAGTACAGCAAGGTGTGATGGAGTTTTAGACTCTCTGATTTCACTTCCTCATCAATCTCATCACTGAAAATACAGAAAATGTGTAATATCCAAATGAATGAGGGACTCGGGCGACAGGTGTGGCCTGCCCAAGAAAATCAGAATCTCAACTCTGCTCAGCGCTTTCCTCCACACGTTAGAATATTCTGTATTCCTTGCGATTAATTCCTCATGTTTCATGGAGCCCTTCTGAAAGTTTCTCTCTTCCTCCTTGTTCTTTTTTCTCTTTGACCACAAAGGAAAATCAGTTCCTCACTTAGTCTTGCCCTGAATCTACAGACATGAAAAAAAAAACACAAAAACCCATGGTCATTCTGTCCCTATGAATGTGCATTTTTTGTTTTCCCTTTGATGTCAAAACCATCTTACAACCAGCTGGTTGGGTGCTGAAACTGCTCGAACAAAGATGCCTGTGGCCAAATTACCCAGAACCACCATGAAAATACGCAGCTATGAGTGAAAAAGTTGAAAGAAGATGCCTTAAGTTAAAAAAAATATATATTAAAAGAGTAGAAATCTGTTACCTTCCGAAGCCTGAAATGGCCCCAATTATCCTTCTGACTTCCCTGGAAGCGTCCTGGAGTCGATCCAATGAGGTAAACGCTGAAAAGATGGGAAATGCAAGTCACAGGTCACAGCACTGTCACCTGGGTGCTGGGAATCACAAAACCCGCAGAAAATGCCCATTAAGCCCAGAGACCGCCACACGCCCAAAGGCCTCCTCAGGTAGCTCCCGCTGGAAGGGGCACGTGTTATGTGTGCAAGGCCATTAGGAGGCCACCGGCCTCACCGCGGGCCTGAGGACGAGGCGAGGCCGGCGGCACAGCAGGGCAGTGTGAGCCCCCACCTCCGTCCAGGCCCCAGCAGGCCACACCCGTGTCCTCTTCAGGAGCCCCCCAACACTTCGTACTTCGTTTCGGAGAGGTCGTGCTGGCGGATGACGTCTGCCCACTCCTTGAGAGGAGGAGCGTTGTAGGCCTCCAGGTAGCTGAGGAGGTCGGCTTTAAAGTGGGTTGCCGATTCTCCAGCTGTGTGGGCTCCGTCAACAATCCGTGGGTACAAGGGGCTCAGCCATATGCTGGAAGGAAAAGCATCATCTTCAGGAGTCAGGTGGCCCCTGATGACCGCGTCTCTGCGCGGGTCTCAGCAACCTCAACCCCCACACTCAGGGCTCCACCGGCTTTCCCGTAAGATGTAGCATTATTTCCGAACCTATCACCTGAAGCTTTCCAGGTGAAGGCCACGGCACCATCCAGTGCGCAGGCACCACACTGGGTTCCCTCCCAAAGCCGACCCGCCCTCACCACACCGCTGCCCAGTTATCCTCACCACCCCTCCCTCCCCTGTGCCCACCCACGTCACCATGAAGTGAAGACCCAGTAAGATCTGGCTGCTGCCCAGCTTGGCTCCTCCACGCACCCCTCTTACTCCTTCGCCCTGCCTCCCTCCCGCCCTCTACACTGTATTAGAAGACTGGTGACAACGGTGAGGAGTTTTGTGCCTGTTACCGCACCCCCCGCCTCTACTGACCCAGCAAGATTTGCCCACACCAAGCAGCTCTTTGGCCAAGTGGGAAGAACAAGTTTATTTATACTATGAGAAAAGCGCGCACATCTACTTTGGATAAACGCCTTTTCCTGATGTACGTGCCACAGCAGCCTGGGACACTCCCGCGTCCGACATCTGCCATCCGGGGTGGGTACGGATCACTCCACGGATAAGGGGACCCTCAGGCGGCTTCTGGGTAGGATTTCTGCGGTGTCTGTGTGGGGCGCGGCCAGCCCGGCACGAGCGGGCACCGGCGACGCGGAGGCCGAGAGGCACCAGGTCTCAGCGGGGAGACGGCGGGTTCGGGCCTTTCACTTTGCACCCTCCCCCTCCCCCCTCCTCCCTCCCCACCTCCGCACACGCAGCCCCGCGCGTCGACTACCTGCCTCGGCTACCGGGTGCGCATGCGCCGGGCGGGCGAGGAGTGCAGACCACGCCGGCCACCTCGGGGCGGGGCCGCTCAGCGGAGACACGGCCGCTCCTCCCGTGGCCCTTTTCTAGGCCACGGGTGTGGCTTTTTTTTTTTTTTTTAAAACAGCGAAGACAGAAATGAAAGCACATCCCGGCACTGATGCTCCCTGGGTGCACATGGCTCCCCGAGAGCGCGAGGCGCCCCGTACCCTTGGGTTTTCTGGTGCCAGTCGGCGTGGATGAGGTTGGAGGTGTGGATGACCACCCGGAGGCCTTCTTCATATAGCAGCAGCATCATCTTCCTGCACAAACAGAAACGGATCAAACACATGAAGCTTCCAGGTGAGCCATGCCTTTGATGCAAACGGAGGGGCTCTCGAAAGCTCTTCTATCACCCAAACTCCACGGAGACGCCCTTCCCGTCTTCTATACGTGGCCAGTATGGCCAAGTCTGTTAAGTGAGTGGCCTGGTGGGCCGCGGTCTCTGTCGCCCGCCCACGTGGCCAGCCCTCGCTCTCCAGACCGGGCCCTGTGCTCTCTCTGCAGCATCACCCCATCTGGCCAGGGGGCCGGGGAAGCCTGGCCAGTGTCCCCCCACGTATGGTCACAACCTCTTGCTGTGTCCTGGCTCTCCAAAACTAGTTGGCTGAATGAGAAACACAAGGGGGGCCTGCATCTATTTCAGTTAAGCGTCAGTTCACGGGGCTGTTTCAGCCCAACAGAGTGATGTGCACAACGGGCCAAAAAGGCACCACGGGATTCTTAACCCTTGGCCACAGTTCAGAAAGCTTTAAAGATGCTTCCTTTCCGTAAGGCTGGTCTTTCGTTAAATACCCACAGATGCCACGCTGGTCATCGTGTGAACTGGGCTTGAGGTCAGTCTTTTCTTCTCCACTAAGGAGAAACAGAGCCAGCTGAGGCCTCTTGCCCTCGGGGCTTTCCAGGCCTCTAGTCATCAGACTGAGTCTCCTGACTTAATCCCAGGAGCGGGAGGAGACAGGATACAAAGAGCTTTCCTCTTGAGTGCAAGTCATCACCACTAGGAGCCTGGGATCCCGGGGAGTCATTAATGGCCCTAAGTCGTTCAGTGTCTCTGGGCCTGGGATGTGTACTAGTAACATAAAGGATTAACGAGTCACTTACTTGGCATGGTTGTAATAAAATGCAACAAGCATTTTGTAAAACATCAAACTTTCTCACGGTGCCTTCCTACCACTCCTTCAATGCCTTGCTCAATTTTGTAATCTACCGTCAGATAATTCTTGGCCACGCTATGGCTTGTTTTCTTGGGGGAAGACTTTATTTTTGTGTAGAAGAACTGGGGTACAGGCCAGGGGCAGGTGGGTGACAGGATTCACAGGGCGAGTGGAAATACAACGGGTGGATCTACTGAAACACACTGCTGGGGAGACAGGAGAGGTCTGCGGGGCCACGTGGGTCAGTCCCTGGCTGGGGGTGGACTGAGGCCGTCGTGGCAGGCCTTTGTGGTGGGAGCGCTGAGACCTGACCCCTTGGCCAGCAGGGAGGCCCCGGCTGGCTTTCTCATCATTCCAGGAATCCAAGTTCTCTCCAGGCAATGAGGAATTTGCTCCTCGTGCCTGTAACTCTGCGTGGACATTGTTTCCACTTAGGATGCTACATAATAGGATGCAAATCAGTTCACATCTGGAGAAAATGAGAACCCTGCTCCTCAGGTATAAACAGCCTGGTACTGCGTGGGCACCTGGGGTCAGTGTGCACAGACACGGACCAGAGAACACGGACAGGGAGGGAATGAGCTCAGTTCTTGCCAGGATTTAACCCGGCTGGCAAATGGTCAGGGACGCCGTGCTGCCCGAGGGCCACCGTGCAGCCGGTGCCCGTCCCACTCGGGGACACGTGCCCGGGGGTCTGGCGGAGGGCGCCTACTGGTGCCAAATCAGCAGCCGACTGGAACTAACAATGAGCCAGCTATAAACTCATGACAAGGCTTACAGGTATGTCCATTAGTCAGGCCTTGACTGGACGCGTGGAGGGTGACCACGCACCAGTGTCAGTGAATTCCACCACACGACGCCATGAGGAGCATGGAACAGAGCCATGTTCCGGAGAAAACGGTGGGTGCTAGACAGATGGGTTAGCAAGGATAACAGGGCGGGCACGAGTCTCCCGAAATGGGACTGCACGCAGCCTGGGGTGGGGGTGTGTCAGGAGCAGAGGGGCAGTTCCGGGCGTTGACTCTGCCCGAGGGGGGAAGCAGCAGGAGGCGGTGCTTTGCTCACTCACGTGTTTGCCTCTTTCTCTGGGAACAAAGACTCAAGTCTCAACTCACGTCCTGTCCCCCACAGCTGTGCTTCAAGGCCAGCTATTAAGCAAGGAATTCTAGCATTTTTGAAACAAGTAACCAGGACGAACCTCAAGGCCTGAGCTCAAGCTCCCATGGACACCGCATGGTCAGAGTGGAAACTGTCCATGCCGTGAGCTGGGGGCGGGGTGAGATGCTGCCTCCATGCCACAGCAGCCTCTGGGGGACGGGCACCCGGCGCTCGCGACCACAGTGACTTACACGCACCCAGGCCAGGCACGCCGGCTCACACTCGGCGGCCCTGCCCTGCCCTCTCAGACTGCAGCTGCCCATTGGGGGGCTCTAAATGATGCAACGTTTACTCAAGAGCAGCTAAGGTCAGCCCGTCTGGCAGGTATGCGTTTATGAGATGCTCAACCTGTCCAGCTCTGGCTCCTTTCTGAAGAGAATCAGCACAACAGCTTTAAGCCTACAAAGGGAAAGAAAAATGCCCTCACTTGGGTCACCACAGTGTGGGGAAAACTGGTCACAGCCAGCCTGGGGCAGCCCCGAGAGGTGCCCCCCACCCTGGAGACAGAGCCAGGCGGTGAGGCACCAGGCCACCACTGGAGCAGAAGGCAAAGGCGGCCTCGTGATGTCCTCTCACAAGTCTTGTCTAGAAAAAGGCGATGATAAAAATATGGAGCAGGAACGACCGTGTCTGGTTCTCATTTATAGAATCAACTGTGTAAGAGGGCTCAGGAGAGGGCACTGGGCCCAGCCCAGTCACACAGGAGTCCAGGTGGCCCCAGGAAGACGCAACAGGTCAGGCTTTCCTGTCTGGTTTATGTCTCAGAAAATTACCTGACAGAGAATTTCTGAGATGTCATCAGCACCAGGTGGACACGCTTTTGAAATACTGGTATACTGGCCCTCCCTGGTGGTGCAGAGGGTTAGGACGCAGCACTGCAAGCTGGCCCCGGAGCTGACCCACATGGCACAGCAGACCTCTCCTGACCCCGCCGCTGCTCCCCTCAGTGGTGTACTTCCTTGATCTGCCTGTTCTGCTCCCCGTTCTGTCTCTGGTGAAGCCTCACACCGCCCCTGCACCTCTGCTTGTACCCCAGTTCTGTATGAACAAATAAATGAATCTAAAAACAAAAACAAACCAAAAAAAAACCCCACCAAACAAAACTGGTATACTGATACGTTATTTTGTTTTTTGGAGTAGGATAGTAATATCCTACTCAATGAAGTCAGCTGCTGTGGACATCAGATTTTCTTAAAGGAGTGGAACCTCCCCCCACCCCCAGGCCTGGGGGCGCAGAGGTGCACAAGCCCAGCTGCCCCTCCATACTGGTACAACCCATGTCTTGAACAGACAGCAGGAACTGGGTGGCCCATCAGATTGTCACCCCAAAGCTGTCAGGCAGCACCCCTCCCAGCTGTCACATGGGAGTCATGTTACCAGCACTGTTCCGTCTATTAAAAATCATTTCCTTCCCGCTTCATAAAAATTGCTTACGTGTGGTGTGTTCCAAATGCAATATCCAACTTTGCCTAGAATAAGAAAGAAGTCAAGTCACTTACTTAAACAAAAACTCAATATTCTTATCTATTGGAAATTAGAAGTGTTCAGGGCCACCTTTAAAAAAACCCCCAAAAATTGTTTCTACTGCCCCCTAGTGGACAAGCCCTAGATCAACACAGCATTTAAATAGCTTCCAAGGAAGCTCATTTTAGAAGAATGATTACTTTTTAAAAAATTAACCAGAATGATTCAATACACTGCACTGCATTTTTAATGAAAGTAATTAGAAGCAAAAAGTGTAATTTCTTGTGTTGTCAAAAAACTGAGGAAAGCAAATGAGGCTTTATACAAAGTTTTAAAGATAGGTAACTGGCTTATAACAAATTAATATTTGCAAAAAGTTTTCAGAGCAAATTTAAAAGAAACACTAAACGTTGGTGGCAGCATAAAGCCATCAAGATGCTAAAACAGGAGTTTTCTTATATTAACTCAACAAGAGCTGAAAATAAGATACATTAAATCCATTTTCATGTTACAAAATGATTCCTTTACAAACAAGCAAGCAAACAAACAAAAGTGGAGGAGTACACCTTTCTCTTAACAGCCAGTGCAGCTGACCCTGGCCAGGCAGATGGGTGTCCAGAAGTAGCCACTAGAGGTCACGTGGGAGCATCAGAACAGCTGTTAGAAATGCCCTCTAGTGCATTTCAGTTTCTGCACTAAGAAGCATGGGCAGCCACTGCAGCCAGAGTTCGGTCCCTGCCCAGGCAGCTGACCCACATGGCAGCAGACCTCTCCTGTCTCCACTGCAGCCAGAGTTCGGTCCCTGCCCAGGCAGCTGACCCACATGGCAGCAGACCTCTCCTGTCTCCCTGGCAGCAGTCGATTTCAAAGGATCTGCCTGCTCTGCCTCCCACTCCATCTTTGGTGAATCCTCTCACTCCCCAAATCTCTGGCCTACACCCCAGCTTTTGTACGCATAGTTATATATACATACATACATACATATATACATACATATATATATGTATACACAAGAAGAAAAAGAAATACCCTCTAGGGACCAAAGTCTGTCTTCCCCGCTTTGCATGACTTTAGGAAACACTGACCTGTGCTCCTCCTCTTTAAAATGAGGTACAGTAGGAGAATCAGAGCTGTTGTTAGAAGTCACTGAGGTGAGTCTGCAGTGTTGGAGAGAGGGCCCCGTGCACGCCCCAGCAAACGGCAGAGGCTGCAGGACAACCCCGGCGTCGTCTCAGGCCACGCTTGTGAGCGTCGGGCCAGGAGGGCAGGGGCCGCGTTACAGGTCTCGGGGAGCTGCAAGTCTGGACAGTCATGTTGGAGAGGGCAGCGCTGAGGGCCTGGCTTTCAGGTGGCGCGGCAGCAAGTGCATGCTGGGCCTGGGGAAGGGCAGGAGCCCGCAATAGGTAGTCTTTAGTGGGCACTCGCTGGGGCAAAGGTGACAAATTCTTTGTACAAAAACCCGCTGAAGAACAGCGTTAGCAAATCATTTTGGAGACAAAAATCTGGCTGATGAGGGGGGGTGATGTGCCCGTTCCACAGCTGGCCAGGGCCTGGCCGCCTTACCAGAGACCAGCCACACATGCAGAAGAAGCAAGTGATCAGAGACACTACGTTGCTAGAAAAGAGTCAAGAATGCTGACAGAAAGGTATTTTAAACAGGCCGCATCCAGCCACCCTCCTCCAGGACCTGGGACGAGGGCTGGGCGCCGCTACAAGTCAGGGCTCGTGGCGCCCTCTGGTGGCCAGCCTGGAGCACACCACCCGGTCAGCTTCACTCTCCTGGGGACACTGCACAACAGGAAACCTTTCCACTTCCACTGATTTAATCGCTGTTTTTCAGGATTCCTTTATCATCTCATTTTCTGCCCATTAGTAAATTGCTGTTATTGCAGTACAACCGCTTCTGGTTTTGGAAACAAGCGTAAAACAGACGGATTTTAGGCAACTGCTGTGTTGAAGCTGAGTGACAAACATGGGTAAGTAAAAAAGGCGTGTTTCAAAACCCCAACTACATAAATGCAGTCGGTTAAATCACAGGAAATGTCCTGTGAGATCAGCTTAAAGGTGATCAGAGCGATTCCTCGCTTTTAATTTTAAGCAATATATACATACACCTACCCACATCGGTAACATTTACTTTCGAAAGACAAGGGATAATAAAAGTGTGACCTGGAACTCTTGTGTGGATGGAAAGAAGCGGGGGAAGGAAAGTTGGAAAAGCACCCCTGGTTCCGTGGGACCCCTCTCTAGGGCTCAGTCACTCCAGGGCCCACCCCTAGGAAGTGAGGGTCTGCTAACCCTACGCGGCCTATCCGGCCTCCACTGTTACCTACAGTTCTGTATCCCAAAGCAAGACCAGAACGGCCGGGTCAGAGGAGCCCACCCTACAAGGTGCCGTTCACATCCACTAGGAGCGCGAAGCTGGGTCACCCCGGGAAGGGTCTGCACCACAAGATGTGACCGGGGATGGCCGGGGGCTCATAAACTCACTTCCTTCTCGTACCCCGTGAGGGCCGCAGGCTGATGTGTGTGACGAAGGACCCCAAAGCTCATCAGTGGACGCCTTAGTGATGAGACTGAGACCCCGGCTCCGGCGGCAGGGCTGATCTCCCTCGTCAACAAACAGGCCGGGTATCGCTGGGGAGCAGCACCCTGCACTCCGCAGCCTGCCCCACACCCCTGTCTCTTTATCAGCACGGTGCCGCCTGACCAACAAGGAGGGGCATCAGAAGCATCCAAAGGTCTTCTGCATCCCTTGCGTTTCTGCGTCTTGCCAAAATGCCACGTGTCCAAGAGTCAGAGGTGGCGTGGACACCTGACTCGAGACATGGGGCTCGACCTATCTCCTGCTACGACGCAGCAGCAGGAGCAAATTCTAGGAATGGGAAACCCAGGCCAGCGGCTTTGTGTGGCCACATTCTTTTCGCTTTGCCCCGTGCTAGCAATCTGGGCAGGTCATCTGCTCTGAGACCACGTCATGCTCCCTCGCCAGGCCTGGGCCACACGCAGCACACGACTTACACGGGAGTTCCTAGAGGCCTGCTTTTTTTTTTTTTAAAGGGGTTATTTATTTATGCATATAGGAACTGGGGTACAGACCAGAGGTGTGGGGGATAGGAGAATTCACCAGAGACGGAGTGGGGAACAGAACCATCAGACTGACTAAGGGTCACCTCCCTGGCCAGGAGTGAACTGGTGCTGCAGTGGTGATGGACGGCCTCACGGCACTGTGCCTAAGCTCTAGCGCCAACCCCGATTCACCATCACCCAGAAAGTGATTTTCAATGGACAAATGCCCTGAGTGAAGCAGCCCGCCTTCCTTAATGTGGGAGAGCCTCACCCGATCGGCTGAAGCTGCAAGGGAAAACACCAACTTCCTGGAGAAAGAGGAAGCGTGGTCTTCAGAGGGCCCCTGGGCGTGGCCCCAACACTGCCGCTTCACTGGTTTTGAAGAGGCCACCTCACCCCACCGGCCTCCCACTGACCTGACCCCATGACCACACGAGCCAATTCTTCCAAAGTAAGCGCCTCCACTCCCTTAACACACAGGTATCAAGCTGACATCAAGAAGAATCTTTCTGACCACAGGGGCTGCCCACCCACAGGTCGGCGATCTCCAGCAGCAGCAAGCCCAGGCTGGACAGGGACGTGACAGCGACGCTGCGGAGAGACCAGAGGTCTGAATCCCCTGCAAGCCCAGACCCTGTGGGGCCAGCAGCGCAGGGAAGCGGCTCACCTGGCAGAGGGAGACGTTTCCGTAGGGCTTCGCCTGGGCATGCAGGTGAGCCTTAGCTTCTCGCTTGTCGCCGTGCACCAGCAGGACCGGCTTCTTCCTGAAACACCACCAGAAGCCGTTCAGACACCTCACCACGCACAAGGCTGGGCTCCTGCAGGAGACGAGGGCCCCCGCCTCGCCACGTGCATGCGCCTGCCCTGATGCGGTAACCCCACTAGCCAGTGACCTTTACCACTGCGCCATACGACCCAACGGGGACTGTGTTGTGACCCAAGGAAAGCCCCAGCACAATTCTTTTCTTTGGTCCAGAAGGAGGCCTGTCAGTTTGGGCGAAGATGCTGAAGTCCCGGTGGCCTAACAGGCGCACAGTTATGGCTCGGAACGAGGCTCTGCTCTCCCCCTTCCTTTGGACGGCTCACTGGCACGGCGCCCGCCTGTCTGGCAGCCCTGCCCGGGTATGGGGAGCGGGCGACGGCACAGTGACAGGGGCTTCCACTTCAATGCCCCCGAGCCCAAGGCACATTGATAACACTGTGTCCTGGGGTCCCAAAAGGAAAACAGGACTAGATTAAAAAAGACTTTGACGGGAACCACTGTCTTCTCCAGTTAATTCAAAGCAAGATAACCCTAACAAATCAATACATCTTTATAAGCTCTCCCAACAAGACAAAAACTGGATTTTTCTCCAACAAGGAGTCAAGCAAGATGAGCAACCTCAGCTCCGCACACTCAGCAAGCCCACTGCATGCTGGTTCCCGCCGCACCGAGGGCCGGCTGGCTCAAAGGAAGGAGCATCCTGGCGGACACCTGCCCGGGCAGACGCCCCACGGCCGCCTTCGAACAGGCATCGTCTTCATTTACTGCTGTTTGGAAAAGGATTTCTATGTACTAGAAACAACAGGACAGAGAATGTATAATGCCACAGACTCTCATCCATCTGCCACCTCACGACAGTTAGTGTCACCAGGCCGTTGGAACCTTTATAAAACACAACGCTAAACCTCACTGGCAGAAGCAGAAGTTCTCACTCATTCTTTCAAGTTTACCAGCAACATAAACGGTCAGAAAAGGCAGGCTGAGGGTTAAGTTGCTGTACCTACGTGACCTGGCCACGGGGCTGGTGCAAAGAGTAGAACAGCTCAAAAAGGGTTGTCTTCTCAAGCACACGAGCGTTCACACGATTCCAGTGGTTTCCAAAGAAAAATACTCAGAAACGTGGGCGGCAGCTGCCGACGCACCAGCCCTGCACCTACAGCCACGTGGGCATGCGTGGGACTCACCTGAACTCCGGCGGGTACTGCTTTATCAGCCAGTCCACATCGAAGCAGTAGTTAAACTGTGGGAGGACAAGCAGGGGTGTCACGGCGGCGGGCCGAGGTCTGAAGGGAGCTGGGGGATGGCGCAGTGGAAAGACGCTGGCCAGAGACATGCTCAGAGCAGTGCGCGTGACCAAGGCCTTCACGCCATGGTGCCCGCAGGCAGACGGGCTGGGGGTCCTGAGCCTGGCGGTGGAGGCAGCGGCGGCCCGGGGGCACGCTGTGTGGGCTGGGGCCGCACTGGCATTTACAGCTGGCTCTTACATTTCTAACAGCCCTGAGAAACTTAAGTACCTAGCGTTTAAAGATTTAGCCCTCTCCCCTGGGTGGTCATAAAAAGGACTTTTAGAAGAGAACATTTCCTTTCAGGCTAACTTGGCGCCTGGCTTTGTGAGCCGGCATTTGGGATTAGACTCTTGCTAGGCTTTTTACAGCCATCACCTGTTGGCCACGGAGCCTGGGCCACCCCACCCCCCTGCTGGACAGGACTCCACCCCACAGTCCACCTGCACGTCACCTCCTTGAGACCAAGCTTAACAAGAAGGGCACAGGGAGCTTTGCTTTCTCTGGGGACGTGACGCTTATTCGGATTATTTACTTGAGCAGCAGGAGTATTAAAGGGACTTTTCTACATGAGGAGCCGTGCGGAGGCAAGAGCAATAAACGTGCAGCCGTGAGCGCAGCTGTGACTTCCTCCTGGGTAGGTGCCACGCGTTTCCAGATCAAATCAAACTGGACTTGGCCTTCCCCTCTCTACCCTGGGGAGTTGTACCAGGTCCCATGGATGATCAGTGTCCCATAAAGAAGTCCCTCAGGTGGAATTTCCAGAGTGCCTGCCTGGCCAGAGCCTGGGGCCTCATCTGAGCACCGAGGGCAGCAGCTGTGCTCCCACAAACCCCACAGGAATGAGAGATAGGACCCCTGCTCACATTTTTTTGCATAAAAGAACAAAGACCCTCTGGTGCAGGCCAGAGGTGCGGGGGATAAGAGGATCCACCAGAGACAGAGTGGGGAGCAGAACAGGGGGATCTACTGAAATACACAGCTGAGGGGAGCCGTGGGGAGACAGGTCTGCTGTGCCCTGTGGGTCACTCCCTGGCCAGGGATCAAACTCAGACTGGAGACTTAGTCCCTAGGCCACCTTAAGGAGCTACTAATCCTTTTCCACCCAAAGAAAAAAATGTAATTGTAGACTCACCTGAGCTGATGACACAAGTGTCCCAAATAGAGGAGATAAAATATCTGGTAAAAGACAAACTATTTCAGTTTTATTCATATTTTGACAAAAATACTCTAGTATTAACAACTACAAGTGGTCAATCAAAATTTGACTCAGGAAACAGTGAACCATGAAGTCACTTCAAAACTGGACTTCAGTGTCTATAAAATTCAAGGGAAGGGGCTCCCTGTGCTATTTGATTCTCCAACAAAATACAGCGTCAAGTTGCAATCTACTACTTTAGCACTAGGTACTGGCGCATTTTAGAAACTGCCAGTGAGGACACCACCCATGCTCTTCTCCCACATCTTTCACTTTTCACCTGCTCCAAGCCCGCATGCAAGCTCTCAAGCTTTGCTGGCCCTGGGCCCGGGGCAGGCAGGGCAGGGCAGGGCAGAGGCAGCCACAGCGCCGCACTCCCAGGGCCCCAGGCGGTCTCAGGAGTCCCGTCCACTCTAGCTGGACGGCAGCTGGGTCAGAGGACTTGTTCCTCAGATGCTCACGGTGACTGCGGTCAGGGACGGTGACAACCAGGCGTTTCCCGTGAGTTAATACTCAGTCCCCACAGACGCTGAGGTGGGGTCTGTGCTGTGTGGCCGTCCTGGCCCCACGCCTGGGGAGGACAGAGCGGGATCTGAACTCTGGCTCCACACTCCAACCGCACACTGCAGCTGAGGTCACTTACTGGACCCATTCTTATTCACCGAGTACTGCCGTCGGCTCGGCCTAGGCCCCGAGCCAGGTGACGATCAAAGGGGTGCCCGAGCCTGGAGTGCCATCTGTTTCTGGAGCCTGCCCCACCTCCCAGGGTCCGTGGGCAGTTCTTCTTCCTCCGGAAACCTAAGCCACCTGCAGGGGCGCGAGCCGGGGGGGGTGGGGGGCGGTGCTGCGGCTCTGGGCCCAGGCCCTGACCGGCGACTCGTGACCTCTGGCAGCCCCGACTGCTCCAGAGACAGGCCTGCCACCTGCCCACAGGGGACAAGTAAGCAGTCCGCTCACAAGGCCAGAGCCGGATGGGAGGAGGCTAGTTTATGGAAGAGCGCTTGCTTCCTCAAGACCAAGGACCCACCAGGCGCCTGTTGTCTTACACTTTACAGCAAGACCTGGCAGAGTCCTCTGTTTTCTGTGTCACTCTCCTGAGTACAACAAAGCACACTGAGATACAGCCTCCTGCATCAAGGCACCCAGGAGAGTCAAAGAAGAAAGCACCTGTAGAATCAAACTCCCTACATGGTGGCATCCGATACGCCGCAGTGGCACCTCGCAGACACAGACTGAGCGGCCAGACAGTGACCGTGAACACCTCCAGGAGTGGGGGCCCGGAAAAAGGGTCACGGAGCGTACCAGTGAAGCTCCTGGCTCACGTTACCCTGTAATAGTTGTGCCAGTTACTCGACGCTTCTTCTCCCCTGTTTGTGATGCCCCAGTCAGGAGACACATTAGAAGAATGCTAGTTAGGCCCTTCAATTAGCCACACAGCAAGTGAGTGAGGCTCCCACCTCCTGGGTGCGAGTGGCCTTCGGCGCGAGGAGGGGACTGTTGCCTCCCCGGGCTGCTACTGCCCACGAGTGGGGACGGTGTCCACGGTGTGATCTCGGCAGACACCGACTGCCCCGCACTGGGCGTAGCTCCGGCCTTACCTGCCTGCTGTGGGCACCCAGCCCACAAGTTGCGGGCCCCACCCCAGGAGGAGCCCAGGTCACATGGCTCCAGCAGGTCTGCATCAAACCAATGCATGTGATCGCCAAAATGGTTTCTTCCCCTTCCTCCCTCCCCCCGCCCCAGCAGCTAAGACCAGGCGTCTGGACAACCCCCTTGGGGGCACTCCTCCTGGGGGACTCTCTCAGGTGGTCTGACAGCCCAGACACACCCCCACTTACCCTTGATGTGCAGGGCCCCAGAGTTGTATTTCGGCTTGACCCCCGAGACCCTGGTGAGGTAGAATCGGAAGGGGTTCCCTTTCTGCAGCATGTCCCACATGTCTTGGCCTTCAGCCGACGTCTCATACTCATCCTCCTGCCCCTCTGGGAGCCCCTGCCTGGCGGGGGCGCTGAGAGCTGCTGTCTGGGCACCGTCTTTGGGAGCAGTGGGGCCTTGCTCCTCCGTTTCAGGCCGCCCGGCCTTCTTCTGTGGCCCGTCGGGCTGCAGCTCGTCGTCACTGCTGGACAGGCACCAGCCAAGGCCTTCCTGGGGGCCACTTTTCTGCTTTTTAGGAGGTGACGCTTCTGCAATGGACTCCGCATGGCTGAACTTCACGGGGGACAGCTTCCGCCGGTGGGCAGCTCTCCGGGCCTCAGAGCACGTGTAGCTGGGCTCCTTGGGGGCACCCTGCCTGGAGTGGGCAAGAAGGGAGCTGGACGGCTTGTCCGGTGCTGGTTTTTCCTCCTCGCTTTCATCACTACTGGATATCGTCCACTTCCCGTAACTGCCTTCCTGAGACATTGTGCTTCTGGAAAGGAAAAACCAGAAATGGCATCACCTCCTGTTCACTGGGCCGGACACTCAGCTGCTCTATCCCGGCCAAGGAGCTGACCCACACGGCGCAGCAGCCCTCTCCTGACTCGCCTGCTGCTCCCGTCAGCAGTGTATTTCAGTAGACTGAAATTCTACTGATTCTCTGTATAACCAGAATCTGTGTTCTGCTCCCCACTCTGTCTCTGGTAAAATCTCTCACCCACCTACACCTCTGGCCTACACCCCAGTTCTTGCATGCATATATGAAAAAAAAATCATTAAAAAAATAAAACTATTTTATAGATATTTATCACTTTTCAGAATTTCCCATTTGTTTAGTCTGATAAGGTTTTGTAACAGGGTGGTCCCTAGGAAAAGGGGAAGTTCCAGGTTCCCTGCCCCACCCAGAAGGAGGGTGGAGCTGAGCAGAGAAGAGAAGGAATCTGAAGAAGGAAGCAGGATGGAGAACCAGGAGACCTGAGGAAGCCACATGGAGCAGCAAGCAAGTGATGAAGAAACCGTGCTTGTTTCCTGACCCTGGACTGGCTAAGGCAGATGTGGGTGAGAGACCTGTAGGGAGGTGACTATGGCAGTGTTTATACTGATTGTGATTTTGCTCTTTTCCTCCCAGACTTGTCTGGCCATTTCTGACCCTTGTCCATGGGTCCCGGCCAGAAGGTGCTTTAGTCTAGTGGCAGCTTTCAGGCCTTGCTTTGGGCCAATCCCTTTGGGTTGACTTTTGCCCACGAGGGGAAGGGTCACTTCAGGTGTTTGATTTAGAAGTTACATTCTTTGTGTTCCGTATTGTATATTCACTGTATTAAAGTCCCTTATTAAAGTTTTATATGTTTTGTCCTGACGCAGCAGATGGCAGAACCCACTTAGAGCAGGCAGGTTTGGGGCTTTAGGGGTGCCCCTCTCTCCCTGTCCTCTAACAGTTTCTCCCATAGATGACACTGTTCAAGGGCGTTCTACAGCAGAGAACTTCTGGACCATAAAGTGACCTCCCTTGGCCCCAGCAGGCACAGGGGAGGCCGCCTGGCCTGCAGAAGGGGCCCCCACCGAACAGGTTCCCCCTCTCCCCAACCGTGTCCAGTCTGCTAATACCTGCACATAACCATGCCTGTTCGCCCTGTGTTCTGAAGGTAACAGGATCGTCAGGTGTTCCCCAGGAAGGAGAACTGCCAGACTTGGCACTTAGTACCTGTGGAGCAGCACAGGTTTCTCGTCTTTGTCATTTTGTAAAAGTGAGCTTCTCTTAGAGCTCTAGACTCCAAGAGCCGGTAGGCAGAGGGAGGTGTGCAGTCACAATTCACTCAAAGGATGACTGCAAGTTTTGCGATTTGCCTAGAAAGAACCTCAGGAAAAAGTCTCCAAGAGCCCCATGAATTCTAAAGCAGCTCTCCAGGGCACTTAGTAATTGACCCCATCCAATCCCAGTCCTGAGGCTGTTCTTTCTAGATTGCTCCTCATTGTAAAGCAAACAGAGGTTCTGAGAGTTTTCAGGTGAGAAAAAGGGCCAATTGTGGGGCCCTCCTAGATAGAGGTGACTGCAGGGATGAATCACTAATTAAATGCATTCAAAACCCAGAGAACCCAGAAGGGGAAATTTTCATTTTTACAGCCCTTTGCCCTTCAGAAAATTTCTGGTTTTCAGTTTTATCTTTCTCTTCTTGTTCAGACCCAGAGTGGAGGGGGAAGGGGTTGCAGAACAGTAAAATAGGAGCTGTGAGCAAAAAAATAAAGCTTTAAAAAGACATTTCCTGGCTCCCTCCCCCCTTGTGGTGCAGTGGGTTAGGACACAGCACTGCAAGTCAGCAGCAACCGCTTCAGTGTGAGTTCACTTCAGTGTGAGTTCGAGCCCTGGCCCTGGCCCTGGCCCTGGCGGTGACCCACATGGCGCAGACCTTTCCTGTCTCCCTGCTGCTCCCCTCAGCAGTGTACTTTGTCAACCTGCCTGTTCTGCTCTCCACTCTGTCTCTGGTGAATCCTCTCACCACCCGTGCACCACCTCTGGCCTGTGCCCCAGTTCTGTATGCACAAATAAATAAATCGTTTTTTTTTTTTAAAGTGATAACTTCACACACACACACACACACACACACACAAAACCACTTCCTAGAAAGAAAAGCTTTTCTTTTTTTGACAGAGGGGAATAGTCTGATTCTCCATATAATTTATGTTTGAGATTTGTACAGACTCAAAAAATATGCCAGAGTTGTTTACCTCTTAAAGGTGAAAACCTTTCATTCACTAATAAAACCAGATCCAGCCATTAATACTCAGGTTACGAGCCTCTTTATGAATTTGGGTCTGTAGATGGTAGATGGGGGGGGGGGGGCGGGGAAGAGGCGGTGACTGTTGGTAAACTCCTAACTCAGCCGGGTTCAGACTGACTGGGGAACGGGATCTACTCTCCAGCCGCAGTTTTACTGCTCTCCTAGACACTGGGGTTCCCAGACCTCACCTGTCAAGTCCCACAGTTTTATAAGGAAAGGTTCCCAGAGCTGCCCTGCAACTTCCTCGTTAGAGTTCGCTGGTGGCTCAGCACAGGTCTAAGCACTTTTGGTGGTGTAGGGGGTGATGCCAGAATCAGGGATCCCAACACAGGGGGGCATTTCTGAGACTGGACGTTTGCTCAGCTCAGTTAGGTGACTCCCAAGTGCAAGTGCCCTGACCCCACACTAAAGTCACAAGATGAGAGCCAGCCCTTTCCCACACAAAGCGCATCTGGTCTCTGTTGAAGCCAGGGATGGTGACTTCAGCAGTGTTGTAAAATGCCTCTAACCTGGCTTTAGGATACAAGCTCAAAATATAGAGCATTCCCCCCACCAAGTGGGAACATTAATACTTCTATTAAGGGATTTAAAAAAACAAACTGGCGTTGCTGAGACATCCGTCTTAAGCCCACCAGGTATCCCTCTCTCCCTGCCAGACCAAACCTACCTGGGGTGGGGGTTTTACGCTTCCAGCTGCTCCTTCTTAGTCTGTGGATTATCATGGGGGGCTCCACGGAGGTCCCGTGTGGCTTGAGCCAGCAAACAGGAGCCCCAGTTTCAAATCCAGTCACTACTAAATATAATTGGGCACCTGTGTTTCCTAACCGCTAAGCTTCCCTTTCCGCTTCTGCAAAATGGGTCTAATAGAACAACTCCCAGAGTTCATTCAGTCAGCCACTACTGAGCAGCTGCTGCGTGAGGCGCTTGCAGCGAGGTTGTGCCCCAGGAGAGCTTACAGTTCTGGAAAAGGAGAAGGGCCAACACACGAAAATAAAAAGCCAACACATCTTTACCAACGTGTATTCCGTCTTACATGCAGAGAGAGGGTAACTGGGAGATCCACATTCTGGGATACTCAGAGTAAGCAGCATTTAAGTGAGATCTGGAGGCTGGACAGGAGCCAGGACAGTTAAGTAGAGGGAACCTCAATCTGCAAAGACCAGGGGGGTGGACTAAGACCAAGGTCTGAAAGGCTGAGGACAGGCGTCCAGCAAGCAAGAAGGCCGGCCCAGGGCATTAGGTGAATAACACAGGACCCCCTTCTCCCATGCTCCCAAGAACAAGGGGGTCCCATTGCTGGCTTTGGAAGCAGGGGAATGAAAACCTGTTTAAAATATCACCCTCCCTAACACTGAGTGGAGAATGCTTTTAGGGCGACAAAGTCGAGGGGCAGAGGCCCCAGCCTGGAGGGCTGCAGAGGAAAAAGACCGCGTTGGGGTTGGAGAGACAAGGCCCGATTCCGGGTAAGCTAGGCAAGTAATGGCAGCCCCAACTTTCCGAGCGTCCCCCTCGATCAAGAACAATTCGAAGGGCTTTCCCGGGCATGAACCCCGTTCCCGCTCTTAAGTCTACACTAGGCGCTCCGGCTGCTCCCACTTATGGGGACCCAGCACAGAAAGCAGGCAGACGCCCAACCCGCGCCCGCCACCGTCCCGCACCGCCGAGACCACCACCCCGCAGCTGCGAGCTCGAGGCGGGGGGTGGCCCCTTGCCCCCGCGGGGCGCGGGTGCCCAG